CAAACGGGGCGGGCCAAATAGGCCCGCGATTGAACGGGCTGGCCAAGCAAAGGCCCAAGCCCGTCCGTTTAAGCGGGCGGGCGGGCCAGCCCGCGGGCCACTAGCCCGTTTGACAGTGCTAGTTGTCTTAGTTAAGTTTTGTCTGGCTTCTAGTCTCTTTTATGGAGCTTTATGTTTTGCAAATGTTTGTACAACTTGGCCGCCTGTGTGATTCTGATGGAGTTGGTCTAGACTCTGTTCCGGTTCCAGATGTGTACTTTGGCACCTCAAGTGTACCTTCTTGAGTTTTTAGTCATTAATATAGTTATCATTTGAGGGAAAAAAATAGGTTGTTCTTTGTGTTTTGGTCTTAATCCCCATTTATTGAAGTGTTTTAATAAAAAAAAATAAAAGTAAATTGTTTATACTACCTTCTATTCTTTTTAAATGTCGGTTTTATCAACTATTAACCAAATAAATGACGTTTTGAATTTTTTATACATATTTTCTATTATTATCCTCATTTAGCTAATAAATACACAACGCCTTTTCATCTGCACTCTTAATCTTAATGTTATTAATTTTAATTAAAGAAGGTTATTATTAAATTATAATTATTGTGCAACTTCTCAAAACGACACATATTATGTACAAGAAAGAGTATTAATGTTTGTATTGTTGACTTTATGGGCCAACCGCACTTCATATAGCCAAAACCTACATGTCCAAGTAAATGGGCCACAATAATCATATAGCTCGGCCTTATTTGTGCAATAAAAGCCTGAAGGCGGATTGGTCCATGATTGTTGTGTTTTGGTGCTTACCAATGTGCAAATTGCAGATAGATCATTAAACCTTCATCATGAATGTACAAATTATATTTATCAAATTAATTTTACAAATGAAATAATTTCTGGATAAACTATAAATCTTGGATTGTCACTTTTGGTTGAACTATTTTTCTGTTGTGATATTTTCCAAACAATAAAAAATCGAACCATATCATATGCACTGTTCAGTGTGGAGAACACGTGAAAAAATAGGCCTATGATTGAGACAAACATAAAAATCATAGAATTGGAAGACGACAGAGATATATGAGCCACTCAAATCACCAATCAACACGTGCTTTTAAGAATTGTTACAACCTCATTTTTCTTAGCATTTACTATTCTAATTTATTGATATTGAGGTTTCTCATTGTATATATCTGCACGTAATTTTTTCGAGAAATTAGTATGCTTAATTTAATTAAGCGAAAAAATTTACTTTCAAACAACGATAAAGTTTCAGGTTTATCGTTGTGGTGTGCCGGGCTGTGGGTTGTCAGCCTCTTGAGATCGTGGGTTTGGGGTGTTGGACATTGTTAGGCCTCTGCTGAAGTTTCAGGTTCGGTGCGTTGAACCGGTCTTAGTCTGTGAGGGTGATGGCTCTAGATGGTTGGTAGCGTGGAGGATTGCGCAGTGACGTTTGTCAGTTGTAGAGGAGGGCTTATGCTTAGTATTTTGTGTAGGTTTGTTTTGTGTTTGTGTGGTGTGTTGTTTTGTGGCTATTGTCTTGCTTTCTCCTTTTTTAGAGGAGTTGTGTTATTCTCCTGTGAGGAGTTTGTGTATTCTCTTGTGGGGAGCTTGTTTTATTCTCTTGTGGGGAGCTTTTATTTTTCTTCTTTGTCTTGGAGTGTGCAATGTAGTTTACAGGCTGTCTTGGGTATGTAGGGTGTGCAAACCCAATCCCACATCGAAAAATTAAAGGTTTCAAGTCCAATATATAAGTTTGGTGGGCTACTCCTTCTATTGCCAATTGGTTTTAGAATGGAACCCCATTTGGGCTTGTATGTTGGGCTTGATGGAGAACTGAGTTTTGAATTGTTGATCCCAACAATAATTGGTATCAGAGCCACAGTTGGTAGCCCAGTTGCGATGTGAATGACGTGGCATGTTCCCCGTGGAGCCGGAAGGGCCGATAGATTCGTGTGCCTTGAAAGTCTTCATGGCGAAAGGGTGTGGTCAGGCGGCGGGTTTCGTGGGTGATAACGGCGTTACAAGAGGTCGGATCGTATGAAATTTCGTTCAAGGGGAGGCCCAATGTGGTCTTGTGTTTGAGGGAAGGTTTGTAGGGTGTGCAAACACAATCACACATCGAAAAATTAAAGGTTTCAAGTCCAATATATAAGTTTGGTGGGCTACTCCTTCTATTGCCAATTGGTTTTAGAATGGAACCCCATTTGAGCTTGTATTTTGGGCTTGATGGAGAA